ACTCCCAGCCACCCATGCTGGCCGAGGAATTCTGGGAGTTGAAGTCCACTCATCTTAAAGTGGCCAAGTTTGGACAACACTGGTCTTAACCATGTTTACCACAGCCTCCAACTGGCAGATTCCCTTGCTTCTTTATTAATGACTAGAAGGAAGGGGGGTATTTCAGCTACAATGCATAGTAGCCAGTTGGAATAGAGATGTTTGCCTATGAAATGAAGCACCTGCTGCAGGCGATCCAGACAGTACCACTTGTGCCAACATAGGTCAGAAAAGTCTGCTTTTGATGCATAGCAGAAAAAGATGAGTTGCCTTTCTGGTGGGCTGGGGAAGGTAGAGAATGCTGTTGTGCACTCCTGCCTTGAGAAATGGTCAGTGGCCTGTACTTGCATTGGGGCAGGCTGATCATTTAAATCAGTCTTATGAGAAAGGATGTAAGAGATTTAAATAAAACTGCTCTGATCTGGAGTGGAACTGATCAATATATGCTAGGAAGTAAAAGACTAAAATGCATATTAAAAAGTATGAATTAGTGTTATCTAGACCACATAGCTGCATATGAAAGTTGGAGTTCATATATCAGTAATAGTTGCATGCTATAGTCTAATACATGATGATAATTAAAGAACCAGATACAAGTTTTGAGGAAAACTGCAACATTCTGAATGAGTAAAAGATGTGGATGATTTTTAAATGATATATATATTAGAATGATTGTTGCAAAAATGAATAATGAAAAACAAACTTGTAAGATTATAAAATATGTTTATTTGTTTAAAAATAGTTTTACAGTTTGATGAAAATAAGTTTTCCTACCTACATATTTGTATTTGCCATTCATGCTATTTTTCCTTTGAGAAACCTTTCTAGACTTTAAAATACTCTACCCTAGTATCATTACATTAATACACACAAAAAAAAACCTGGAATCATTTCCAAAGTTAAATTGAGTGGACTGGATTAGTGTGGCACAATTGTGTATATGTGTGTGTGGGGGGGGGGAGAGGAAGAGAGAGAGAACGAAAACAGTCCTTAAACAAGGAAGGTATCTTCATCCACTAACAGTATCCTTCACATAAATTAGGTTTCATAGTTATCCAACTTCCAGAGTTATCAAGAGGAGAAACACAAAGGCTGAAGTACATACAATTTTAACTGAATGGAGTTAAATTGTGTATGTTGGTTATATAAACAGCTGAAGGGAAGATTGAGCTGTATGAAGGGAATATACAAGATTCTCTCTAGATGCCAACAAAACTTGGCCCTCCAAAGGCGTTCCTTGAAATTTAAATAAAATTACACTTTCCTTTGGGACCATAGAAGGTGAGACTTAAATTTCTCCTTCCCCCCTTCATAATCCCAAAACTGTCCTACATTTAGTTGCATCTAGGTAATTGCCAATGGTCACATTTAGCTCAGAATTTATATCTACATGTTTCATGTAGATAGATACAGGTTTCCAATTTTTCCTCCTAAAAGTAGTTTCATGTTTCATTTTAATACATGTCTAGAAAGTATTCACAAGATCTAAAACTTATTTACTCCTCTGATAATGGTAATAGTGCCTTTATGTGATCTGAAAGGAAGGGGTCTCATGAAAACATCTAGGATAAATTAAATTATCAACTAGTACCAGGTAGTCCAAAATCTGCTGAACTTTTTGATAAGATGGGCTTCCAAAGTAGAATTTGTCACAAAAAATAAAGAGCGTTGCATGACATTGTGGTAGGTTTAACCTTTAACCAAGAATGGGTAATTCAGTTAGTGTTTTACTGAATCTTTCAGTTGTTCGCCAGTTTTTATGCTCATACTTTGGGAACTGTAATACTCCAAGTATTGCATCAGAATTTGATATGGTAAAGATAGCACTGGATGAGAAAGTATTACATGCTCAATATAATATTATATTATGATAAAGACTCCAATGAGCTCAACTATTGATTTCATGGACATGTCCATGTAGTTTTGGCAACAATGTAGAAATATAGTAGCTTGTTGCTGCTTTCTGGGATGTTTGCCTAGGCTACAGTTTTGGGATTTTCCAGTACCTCCTATCCAATACTGGACCTTTTTCAAGATCAGCCTAGGTCAGTTAGTTGCTACCACCTAAACAGTCCCACTACAAACAGAATTTATAAATATGGCCCTTCTCACGTATTATGACTTTCTGATAGGAAAACACTTCCTTACTGAAAATGATTCACATGGAACAACTAGACATATATACAGGTAGTCCTTGCTTAATGACAGTAATTGGGACTGGAATTTCTGTCACTAAGCAATGCAGTTGTAAAGTGCAACATCATGTGATTGTATTGCTTGACAATGGCAATCCCAACAATCTCCTTTGCTGTTGTTAAGCGAGGATCATAGGTCACTGAGTGAGGACCTCCTTGCGACTTCCTGCTGGCTTCCCACAAGCAAAGTCAACTGGGAAGCTGGCAGTGAAGGTTGCAAGTCCCTCTTGTAAGTTGCCTGCCCTCCTGTGGCTTTTTCTTCTGAGGAGCCTGCACACCATCTTTCACCCCGCAGCAGCCACCCATGGCCCCACTGCACTCATGCTGTGCCACTTACCTGCCTGCCAGCCTGCTTGCAAGCTGCCTGAGACTTGCGACTTCCTGCTGGCTTCCCACAAGCAAAGTCAATAGGAAAGCTGGCAGTGAAGGGTGCAAGGTCCTCTTGTAAGTTTCCTGCCCTCCTGTGGCTTTTTCTTCTGAGGAGCCTGCACACCATCTTTCACCCCGCAGCAGCCACCCATGGCCCCACTGCACTCATGCTGTGCCACTTACCTGCCTGCCAGCCTGCTTGCAA